TACTAACTGGGAAATCATATTACACAGCATTTTGTTGAAACGTTCTACAAGCCCATTAGTTTGTGGATAATATGAGGTCAAATAATAGTGCTTAATACTTAAAGCTACAAGTAATTTATCAATAAGGCAATTTCAAAAATGGGATCCACGATTAGTTAGTATGAAATTTGGGTATCTGTGTCTACATACTATCTTTTCATAGATGAACTTTGCCACTTCTTCTGCCGTTTCTATAGGAATGGCATGTGCTTCTGGCTATTTTGTCATATAATCAGTAGTCACTACGATATATCTATTTAATCTTGGCATTACTGGCAAAGGCCTGACTATATCTATACCTATTCTGTGAAATAGGGCTACTGCAGGTATTGGATATAATAATTTCTTTGATTTTCTTCCACCTTGTCATTGACATCAATCACAAGATTTAACATATTCTCATATGTCGTAGTACATTTGTGGCCAAAAATAATAATTGCAAATTTTATTAAACATAATATCTGTTCTAAAGTACACATCTAAAGAATGATCATGGATTTGGGCCAGAATTGGTTCAAGTTCATGGTGTTGAAGGATCTTCAGTAAATTGCCTTGGGTTTTTTGGTCTTTCTTATATAACCTTCTTTCTCTAACGATGAAGAACTTGCTCTAAGTATCTAGTCTCCTACACTGATTTCTACTATAGAATGGTGGGTATTGTCTATGTTGACCATAGTTTTTCAGTATATTATATAGTTGTTGTTCTATTTTTTTTTTTGTAAAAAAAAAAAGAATCTAATATTAGCAGTTTTTTTTTTAATTACTAAGTGCTGGAGTTGTAGGGTTGAATGCAAGTTGCTTTGGTAAATTCTTGCGATTCTTTTGTATTTTTGGCTCTAACCTTTAGAAATTAGTCCCTACGATGCTGAATTTGTTTGCACTTGTTTAGTGCTTCAAATTTTAGTTTTGCCAAGACACCAACTACCTGGGCCGGATTGGTTTTAATATTGGATTTTTGGCTTTAGAGGCCTAAGTTCTGTGAATTCCAGTTATTTTGACTTTGAATAAGTATCTTTTTTTCTTTGACAATATTTTCTAATACTGTGCTTTTTTTTTTTTGTACTAATGTCTACCACTTCTATTTTCAGGTCTACTGCTTATTTTTAGGTCACATGATTTCGTAGCCCTATGGGACCTCGAAATCTTAATTATATTCTTGACTATTGTTTTCTTGAATAGGATATCACAACTGATCCTATTCCATCCTGACCAACCACACTCTATCGTCAGATCTGATATAAGCTAAATTTTTTTTTTTTTTTTTTTTTCAATTTATCTTATCATTTTGTATTTGTTTTGATTTTACTATTTTACTTATTCTATTTTAAGGTAATAGTCCAATCCATAGTTACAATATCGACCAAAAGTAGAAGCCACTCAGGGTTGATCCTGGATATTTTTTCTTCGATGTTGGTATTCCCCAACATTTACCATAATCTATATGAAAATTATAGCCATATTCTGGGTCATATGCTTCATAATCGCTGTTCTTGAATTCTAATTCATCATCAGACCATTTCAGTGAATCGATTAAGTATTCATCGTTCATATCCATCTCGGTTGCGTCATCAAGTTCTGGTGTTAATTGATACCCTATTTTGTGTCAGAGTTAATCCTCTGTAAAATTCGTCGTTCAGTTGTTGTACTAATTCTCTATGTTGTCTTTCATTTTCTAGGTATTGCTCAAACTCGTCTTTGTCCTACTGATTGGTTCACAAGTCATCCCATGCTTCTTCAGTATCTGCCCACAAATTTTCATTTTTTTTCTCAATTTCTTCTACGAAATAGTTTTCC